CCCCAAAACCCCAAAACCCCAAAACCCCAAAACCCCATATAAGTCTAGTCAAATTGGTTTTAATAATAAAAATGAATTCTCTCGCCCTTAATCTCAGCCAAGTACCAAGTTATGAAGATAGCATGGGGACTCCAACTGAGGAAAGACAAGGACACATCTCTACTGAAGGTAAGAGTTTGTTCCAATTATATTAGAAGCTATTCATTTTCAGTTCTTTCCTACTTCCTATTTAAAATAAAGCCTAACCATATGATTTAGAATGCGATGAAGGTATTAAACAACCAATCAGAGGAGGCAAAGAGTTATCACAGATCTTCATACAAAAAGAAGATGATACTCTAGACTGAACACCTACATTCTCTGATATGGATGAGAATTTCAGCTCTTTTATAGGAATGCCGTCCTTAACTGTGAATACTTCACTTACATTTAAGAAACCAACGAACGAAGAATTTAAAGGGATTTTTGAAGAACTAACTCAATGAGACTCTATCAACACTGATAGTGAAGGAGAACACCTCTTTGATGAGGCTCAGTGCCTCATGGATGAAGAAGAATATGTGGAACTCATGGAAAGAACATTCTTTCTTGTTAAAGATTCTTTAGATAGAAGATTTAGGCCTCTTCTATCTCCAACTTTATTAAAGAACAAAATGTACCGCATTCTCCAACAGCGACCTTCTCTTGTTGAGCAAGATATTTTGTTTGAAGAGGGAGCGTTAGAAAAATCTACTACAATCAAGAGGACCAAATCCCTCCCAATGAATCGCCTCTGGAGAAAGATTTCTCCTAAATTCAGATCTAGAAAAACCAGATTCGATGCAAGAAGTAAGGTTTTCAGCTCGAGAAAAAATCAAGAGTCCCAGATTTCCTACCTTTTCAAATTTCTGGAAAAGGATTAACTAATTTGTTTCTAATAATAAATTAACTAAACATTTTTTCTGGATGTGAGTATTTTAATCGCTGATATACTATTCATTCAGACTTCAACTCATGGAGGACCACTTGACCCGATCCTTGCATCAATTTAGAAACTTTGGCTTCAAAGAGAATCTTCTAGGAAGCCCAAGAGCTATCAGGACTCAACAGACTCGTTTGAATATCTTCTGAACTACCAAAGTTTCTTTACCTAAATCAGATTTATGAAATTTTTCTTAATATGACCCTAATAATTGAAGAAGAGCAAACCTGGTTTTCCACATCTCAGAAATTTTTGAAGAATTATATCATAAATTTTCTTATAAAATTTTGGAAAACTTCTAAAATGAGTACACTATTATTCCCAATTCTTGGAGTTTGTACCTGATAATAGTGTACCTGTGATTAACTAGAGAAGAACTTAGAAGTCATGGCCTCCTTGAAGGCATAATTTCCATTAAATCTATTGCTTACTTTCGTTCAGTGATTTATATACGTAATTGTTTCTACAAATTATGAAAAAGAATTTTTCATATCAAGTTTTAATGTGAGAGAACTGTGCTGATCGCCATTAACCATTTAGGTGAGACAAACGTGCTTGATCCAATCATTTCATCTTTTATTAAGCTTCTATTTGGTGCTGAAAGCATTTGCTAGAAGCTTAGATAAATAAAAGAAGGCTATATAAAACTACACGATTATTTTCTCAATCAAAATCCACTTTTTGAACTCTCTAGAGGATAGCTTTAGACCAAATTTTAATATTTACGGTGGCTGTAAGGCTCTGCTCTAGAGCTATAGAGCATTAATTATTAATTTTCAGCTAAAAATATGCTAAGAATTCTTCAAGAGTATTCAGATTTTTTCTGAAATATTTGAGGGAAGTTGTACTAAACTTAAAAACTACTATCTTAGGTATACCACCATGTTCTACCTGTTCTCATGCTAATTTGTGAAGATTTGAGCAAATAGAGCTCACACCAAGACTATCAGCTTCTGATAACTAAACTTCCATCTTTTGTGAAAGAGAATATATTATGAAGTGAATGTTTAGTTACTACTTCATCTGTCCTTACTTAAAGATGAAGGAAATTTGAGAAGCTGAAATATAGTTCAATTTACTAGAAAAATTATTGTAAAGATATGCTTAATTCAGATTCATAAAAATTACTACAGTTCATATAATTCGTGAGAAAACGTTTCATTAAGTATGAATACATAGGTATTTCACTTAAAAATTGTGAGCAGTTAGCAATAATTTTTGAAATGACAATTTGGGTAACTTGTGCAACCAAAGAATCCCTGAGAAATTTTTGAAGTTATATCTTATTTTAGGATGAACCATATAATATCCTCCTTTCAAATATGAAATCAATACTCAAAATTTGGGGATTTTAGTACAGAAATCTAAGCATAACTGCTTCCTTCCTAGAATCAGAGTGCTTTTGTGTATAAGTACCTTATATATGATAAATCTAGCCATAAAAGACTACAATAAACTTAAATTTCAAACTCAAATATTTCTAGTAGTACTAACCGGAACGCTGGCCACAACGTCCCAAACTATTAAGTTTATTTCCCATAAAAATACTTCTCTCAGAATGAGAATTTTGTCTTAGTCCCATTAGTGCATAAAGTTCATTTATTTTTGAAGTGTAGAAACCTCCTACAACTTCGTAGAATTATGTTGGTAGGGCCTTCTTTCCCATGTTGAATATTCTTGTCATATTCTTCATCTACCAATAGGGTTTACCGTCTAGGGGTTTTGGGGTTTTGGGGTTTTGGGGTTTTGGGGTTTTGGGG